TTCGGGTACAGTCTATCCGATCTCTTGTAAAGCGTGCGGGGACGAATACTTTGAGACGCAGAGACATAATGGAGAAGATTTTGAAGTAAGGGTTACGATCCACGCGCAGCAATCGAAAACGCAAGCGCGCAAAACTCTAGGGGCATTCTGGATTAATTCCAAGAACCCGAAAATGAACCGCAAGAAGGATTGCCTCATTATCACGCGTGATATTGGACAGTATATAAACCTGTTATTCTGATCGGAGGGGCACATTAGGCCTCCATGTGAATTCTGTGCGGTCGGTCTTCACACGGCATACTCAGTGGAAGACTCACAGAAAGCGGTGAGTGGGCAGGGCTATGCGATTGAAATGTGATTGAAATCTTGGTTTAGCATTTTCACTGTTTGGTTATGAAGGTGTTTGGCCGGATAGATTGCTGTCAACTTAACCTTTCCAGGCTCTGACGAAGGCGAAATCCGCCGAAACGTCAGCTTGTACGTAAATAAAGCAATAAAATAGCACCTCGTGTTTGCTGAGCAGAAGTAGAAAGATCTATTGAGTTAACGCTGCTATTTCTATCTGCCGAACGTATTCCACTGTGTCCTTGTTATATTACTAATTACAGATCGCACGAGCATTAATGGCATAACATCGTTTATCTTCAATAACTGATTAAATCCCTGGGCAAAGTTTGGCCACGCTGACCTCGAGATCCCAGGGAATCACAATAGATCAGTAAGTCTTCAAAAAAAAGCTGGAGATTTTGCCGGAGCCCGCACAACTAGTGAAGACGGGTGGTCCAAGTATCCAAGTAAGTAAATAACTGATTACATTATTTTAGCAGAAGTGTGGTAACGTACCATACATAACCGTTTTTTGAAAAAGATGAGAAAATAACTCTATTTTAGGATTCTTTATTGAACTATGAGCACTAAGTTCAGTAGTAGAGCACTGACAGCCTTGTTGTGAAGGCGGACTTCATCGAGAAAACAAATTGTAGAAATGAAAACACGAACAGAAATAAGTAGGTGACCATCTAAAGTATTTTAAATAGAACAAACTGTGTACAGGCGTGAACCAGGTGAGAGCCAAACCTGTAGAACTGCTATTTCACGTTCGGTTTCATTTTGCATCCAGTCAACGTAGGGGTGAGAGAAATGAATCAGTCGTATGCAATATGCCTCCGTTTTCGGGAACCAATGACAATGTCGCGTTAACGATTTTGGTATGCTGTTCCTTAAAATAGATGAAAAGACATTAGTGAATTATAAAGAGATGCGCACGCATTGGTATCTGTGCACACTGTCATTCATGTTGAACCATCCTTGTGAAATAAGTTGGTCAATTGAATAGGTTGTAACATATGAAATAACCGATTTCGTCGTTTTCAGTTTCGTGTATCTCTTTTAAAATAAAACTTTGTTTTTGGTGCATGTTTAATATATATTTTTAAAGCATAGCCTGCTTTTGTTTTTTTACACTACTTTTTTACTCGTGTATAATGCTGAGATATTTGCAAAACTCCGGACCGCAGGTGTCTGCGGTGGGGAACGAACGCGCCCTATTGTCCTTTCCGGGGAGTAGCGCACTTCACCACCACACCATCCAGGTCCTTCGTTTTGTCTGTCTCCTGCCTGTTTTGCAAATATCTCAGCATTATACACGAGTTATATTTCGCAACATACCCTGTCATTAAAAAGAAGAAAGGCAGTAAATAAAAAGGTTAAGATTGTGATTATAACTAAGCCTCAGCTTAACTGGGTTCAATGCCGATATTGGATATTGGCTCCCCAGATCAATTCCGTTGACGGAAGATTGCTGATGGCAAAAGATCAATAGAACTAGCTGAAAGACAGGCAAAACGAAGGACTCGGATGGTGTGGTGGTGAAGTGTACTACTCCCCGGAAAGGACAATAGCGCGCGTTCGTTCCCCACCTGCGGTCCGGAGTTTTGCAAATATCTCAGCATTTCATACGAGTTATATTTCGCAACATACCCTGCCATTAAAAAGAAAAAGGTAGTAAATAAAAGGGTTAAGACTCCCTTTTTAAGTTCTCAGGACCAACTTTCTATTAGCCTCGGCATTGGCATAAATTCTTCGCTTTCTCTTTCAGCAATCGCGAGGTTGTTAAAGAGCATACTTTTACTTCCATACAATAACACACACAACACAACAGCAGCCGACGTTTCGGCAGTATCGCCATCTTTAGAGCCTGGAAGGGTACACAAATACGCAACTTACTAGGTCAAACCCTTCAGCAGTACAAACAGAAAGATAAAAACCTGAACGATAATTACAAGACCTACGGCTTCTCGAAAAACCCATCGCTCTTTCCACCTGTCTTCCACCGAGGAGAAACAGCCGCTCAAGAGCCACATATGGTTGAAGATTCTATGTTCATCAAGTTTAGGGTGAAGATGGTGCTGGTGAATCAACAATGCGAACATGCTCCCGGAAATCCCGAACTGGTGGTTGCGACTTTCCAGATAAAGAAGACCACGGATGTCCGAATGAACTTGATGAAGACGAATTGAAAGCACTAGTGGAAGTAAACACACGGAAAACTGTTCGAAAGCTTGCACAACAGCTTGGCGTAAGAATTGGAACAATGTCCACTCACTTAGGTCGTATAGGAAAAAAAACATGACAAGTGATTCCCGAGCGAATTAAACGATAATCGAAAAAATCACCGTTTTGAAGTATCATCTGATCTTATTGTGCGCAACAAAAATGATCCTTTGCTTGATCGAATTGTGACGTCCGACGAGATGTGGATTCTGTACGACAACCGGTGACGTTCGGCTCAACGTTCGGGTTGCGATCAATGAAGAGAGGACTCCCCAAAGCCGAAATTGCACCGAAAAAATTATGGTGACTGTTTTGTGACTTGTAGTCGAGCTGATTCTCCAAAACCTTTTGAATTTGGGCGAAACGATTATGGCGATGAAATATTGCCAATAGAGCGACAAAACACCGTAAACTCCAACAACATTGACCGGGATTAATCAACAGAAAAGAACCAATCCTTCTCCATAACACCGCCCGGCTTCACGTGGCGCAACCAGCTCTGCAGAAGTCGAACGAGTTGGGCTACGAAACTTTGCCTCACCCGCCATATTCGTGAGATTACTCGCCTATCGACTATCACTTCTTCAAGCACTTTGACAACTTCCCGTGCGAGAAATGCTTCACCAACCACGATGACGTAGAAAATTCCTTCAACGAATTCGCCATTGCCAGAACCCCAGAACTTTGCGCAACTGGAAGAAATGAACTACTTTCTTATTGATAAAAATGCGCTGATTCCAATTTTTTATATTTTATTAAATAATATTTAGTACGACAAAAGTTATGGTTATCTAAATTTTGCACTTAAAATCGGACATTTCATGTGTTACAACTCAATGCGGCTGTTTCAGTGAACTTCGGCCATGTATTTGGTCGGCCTGCGATATATACATTTTACTGTGGTCGCATTAATGACTTATGTGCTGCTAGCCAGCAAGGATCACCACCTACGAACTTACAGTTTCTTTTGTGAACGTTTCAAATGTTTGAGATCGTTTGTTTTTGATGCACGAACGAAACTGTGGTCCCTTCCAACTTCATGCGTAGCAGTCGCTAATAAAATTACACAACTAGCAATAAACGATAAGAGAGAGAGTGTTTGGATCTTGTCAGTCCCTTAGAGAAAATTCCCATGCATTCGTAGAAAAGGTTGAATGCACATTTGGCTTACACAATCATTTGCGGTAGCTTACCAATACATCAAGTCGGTGTTTCTATGCTCGCAGACAACTATGGTCCTGATTTACCGATCTCTACGCAACGGACCTCTTTGCTTACAGAGGTCTTAAAATCGAACCAGTAACTATATCTTTATTGTAAACCTCTAACCACTGCGCCAAATGAACTGCCACAACTGGCAAAACTGGTTGAATTTAATTACACCACAGCAGACGATTTATGAAGAAAAGGACTGTTCAGAAAGTGAAGCCGCTTTAATATTCGAACTCTATAAGCTAATAAATAGCTTCAATAATCAATTTTAACTGCAACTATAGTTAAGGCCACGCACCTATGTGACCAACAGAAAATTCCAAAAACGGTAGACGCTAGCATGAGTAACGCCAGCGCCACGCCGACAACATTCATCGCTCGAGCCACGGAGCCGTGACATCTCGTGCGCCACGAAACCACACCTGTAAATACTATGGTCGCGCATTATTATTACAAAAATAAAATCCAGAGAAAAAGAGAGTGGCAATTTTAAAAATCCGGATCATATAAATGAAGGATGTTTGATGGCCCGTGGCCACCACATTGGGGCTTTGATTTTCGAATTTTATGAAATCAACGTGTACTGAGGTCGCTAATGACTTCCGCTTTAGTGCGAGAAAAGCCTATCCGTTACAAAATCAGAAAGTAAAAACAAGGAAATATTAAAGAAAGCACTTATTCCACAACAAAAACATTACTAATGATCCGTATGAAATGCTGAGATATTTGCAAAACTCCGGGCCACAGGTGTATGCAGTGGGGAACGAACACGCGCTGTTGTCCTTACCGGGTAGCAGCGCACTTCACCACTACACCATCCGGGTCCTGACACCTGTGGTCCGGAGTTTTGCAAATATCTCAGCATTTCATACGAGTTATAATTCGAAACATACCCTGCCATTAAGAAGAAAAACGCAGTAAATAAAAGAGTTAAGATTACTAATGATGATTTAATTAAATGAATGGGATAAAGCTGTCTCGTCTTCCTTTCACCTTTCTTCTTTTCCATTTTCTGGATAGTACTCCACTGGATTTGAATCGATGCAACCACGAAGACTCACATTGAGAGAATGAATGCCCGTGAACAACCGACTTAGATCAATCCATCTCAGTAAGGCAAAGGTGCCGAAATGTTAGCCGAGTAACGTTTTATCACCATCATAGAGCGGCTGTAGCGCAGCGGTCGGAGGCGCTCTGCAATACACATGAGATCGATACCCAGGCTCTACGCCCACTAAGCGTTCCATCCCTCCACCGTCTGCAAATCGGTAGCAGACCTGCCTAGGAGGGTATTACCACTGGCCCGACACATCGATAAGCCTCCGCGATTCTTTGTACAGGCCGGATATGCATTCAATCACCTCTCACGATGTTGAAGTGATGAAGGTGAAGTGGAATTCATGGCGCATCCCTCAGGGATTGATCAACGCCAAGAGCTTTATCCTTTCATCTTTTATTATTGCCATTGTGCTAGCCAACTAACGAAAGAGTCTACACTAATTATCTTCTCTTTTATGACTGAATGCTATTATTATCTAGCATTAAACATAATGAGGGAAGAAATTCGGTCACTGAAAACAGACATAAAATACTGAGATATGTTCACCTTGTATGACTGAATACACACCAATAGCAAATGGAAGCCCAAGGAAGAAGAAAGTGCAGCAAAATCTGAAATGTCCTTTTATTTATATCCTCTATTTTTCATGACCCACTTTCACTTTTTCGCCTTCTATTTTAGTAATTTTCTTGGTCCTGTTTTCTTACTCATTTTTTTTAAAAAATCGCTTTTTCTTGTTATTCAGAAGAATGAATTACATTAGCTGGCGAAACCGGAACTATCGTGGGCAGAATAAATGGGAAGAAACGGCTGCAAACGAGAAAGAAATGGATCATACTTGAAATGAAATATACCAGTAAACGTCACCAGTGTACCGACGACCAGTTGATAGTGATAAGAATAGAGACGGATTCTTAAAGAAAACTTTGTTAAGCTCGAAAAAATTAAATATAATGAAAAGAAAAAAGAATCAATTAAGGAAGAAGAAAGTAACAATTTCTAGATTAATGAGAACAGTGATCGGCTTGATTTCAAAACCGAAAATTTCAAAGAATTCTCCACTTTTTAAGACAAAAGTAAAGTTATTGCATAGTTTTCAATGTAGACAGGTAATGTTTGATTTGAATTTACCCCACCTAAACCAAGTATCACATCAGGATCGATTTTTCATTCAGTAACAACTAATAGTTTTCTCTGTGACTATTATACTTCCTGTAGTAGATAAGGACCTCAACGGAAAAAGGCCGAAAATGATGACGATTGACCTGTGGGCTTAAGAAATCAAAAGGACTATCAAAAATCTTAATCGAATGAAAGCACTTGCAGCTTTCAGGCAAAGATCGATAGTTTCTTGTGATTTTTTCCAATCAATAAAGTTCAACAGCACCTCAGACTGAGAGATGGTTGTTAGGAGTTGAAGGGCAAAATCAACTATTTGCAGACACTTTTGATACAATTTAACTTATATCGGGCGATATGTGTTAGTGGTCAGTAGGTTAGGTCCAACAGTGGCAAATATAATAATGATTGACAAAAACATCCGTAATAAAGGTAGAGAACGTCTCTTAGTTCGGTCACACCTAGATTGAGGATACATCGGTATCTCACTAGTACTACTAGTGTCATTAATAATAGCGATAATAACAATAAATAAACAATAACAAAATCGAACAGAATATCTCATAACAACAATTGGTAGCCACCCAGGTATCCAAGTAAGCATTTAACAATAAATAATGTTCCTAGTGGATTTTTTTGAATTTAATTTGACCCGTCTTCACGTCTGCTCTGAGGATCCCTGCACTTCCCACATTCAGTTCGTTTCCTCGCATCCATTATCCGCGGGAACTTCCAACTTTTACGTGTGGCTTCCGTTGCGCTTTGAGGATTTCATTTCATCTTGAGTATCGTGGAGTGCTGCGAGCAGTCCTTTTTGGAGTCCTGAGATAGCCGGGCTGGAGCGTTCTCAGTTGGATTGCAGAGAGTGTTTTTTCCCAGACAAGTCCGATGCCAATTTGCCGACCCCGGAAGTGTGAAAGGTTTGGTTGGCCCAGAGCGGAATCAAACTAACACCACGCTCGTGATGACCAGCATCGCTAGCACTAGGCTATCTGCCCCATAATGGATACTACTTACTTGATACTTGAATGTCCCGTCCTCACTATTTGTGCGGTTCTCAGCATAATCTCCAATTTTCGGTGATTTGCTTGTTAAGACACTTCGGTTTCCTGGAATCCCGAGGTCAAGCTGTCTAAAGTCTGCCCCAGGCCTTCACCAGAGGCAGTAGCAGCCCTTGTGGACCAGAGGGAGATTTGCCACTATGCGACTTTGATACCAGGACGGTGGTGGATTCTGGTATTGGTTTACTCTTAGCTCGATTTCCTAATGGAAACGCCGGAGTCCTTCATGGCTTGAGAGAGCCTGCCAAGGGATGAATACCCAGCTGTACATCGCAGTCCGACATCCAGGAACACCTCCCAGCGACGATGAGGCGGTAAACCGTTGGAATGGATAATAATAATACCAATTAATGACAACAAGTTGTCAATAACGACTAGTAATAATAATGGTCAGAATTTTGTTCATACTTTTAAAACCAACAATAACATCCTACAACAGTCCCGCAGCATCTCTCGATGCATGACTGCAGCACGTAGAAGTACATCTCTCTATATTCGGGTCAAGGACAGAGGCGGAAAAAGAGAAACGTTTTTTGGATCATTAGATCTGTTATTCCTGCTCTGCATTGAGCTCCATGCATGTAAAAATGCCGAAAATCAGACGAGCTGGGTCTGTGATGAGGCTTAATGGCAGCTGATGGACAAGAGCTGTTAACGACTTGGTCCCATGAGATGTCAAGCACACAGCAGGAAAACCACCAACTCGAAATCCAGAATTTTTTACGAATATCCTAGAAGAAATACGCGAGAGTCAGCCAATCATTGGAGCTAAAGGAACTTACTCAGCTACTCTCGACAGCGACAAGAAGAGATTTTACGGGTGCCCACCCCAGCCACTCGACAATCAATGGTAGTAGAGGAGATTCGATTGATTTTAGAAAAAGTACTTCACGCAAATGCTTCCATGGTATCTACCTTGCAAGTCAAAAGCATGAGTGGAGGTCTTTTCGAGTAGGCGTAAGGTTTATCTGTTAAATGCATGATCTTAAACGGTTTTCCATGTCATTCGCCTGGAGATATTTGATCAGATCAACACGATGGATGCAATTCACACAAATGGGAACACTCTAATGAATTCTTGCATGTGCATCATCGGTTATAAACGGGGAATGTAAGTTAACACTCATGGACCAACGTAAGTGAGGATCCACACTCATAGTGAATGCTCTCGTAAACTTGGGTTCAATTAGACGCATCATCCACATGGATTTAAGAGTCAGACCCTAAGTGTTATTTAGGCAAAGCAGACCCAGCGAGTCCACCTCTAAATGTTCATACATGTTAATGTAAAGCATACATACATACATACACACATCCATAAATACATACAAACATACATACATACATACCATACATACATATATATATATATATATATATATATATATCGGTTATGGCTAAACTTTTATGGCATTACGAAGTATTTAAAATAAAACGACGCATGTTCCACTACCACAGCACCGTTCCGCTGCCAAGTTTGTGCTACGTAGCTTCCTCACAGCTCCTTACCTCATTATTCGTTAGGTGAATAAGGATAAAATACATTGACGTACTTGGTTTCTATGGCGCTATAAACCATTAACATTGTCGTGCAGAAGAAATGAATTGCCGACAATACGGACAACGACGCCGTGACGAAAAAACGAATCGATTCGCGGTCCTGAGGCGAAAAATTCACACTATTTTTAAACGTTTTTTGTTAATATTTAAACTACGGTATAACTTTAAATCAATTAATGAGGTACGTGCCACCTCTACAGCCTCCATAGGTTGTTCTTTATGAAAATAAAAACGCCAATAGTATTGTTGGTCTATAAAGTTTCTTCTAAGTTGGTCTGCGATGTGGCAGATTCTTCATAGATTCAAGATTTGCCAGAAAAATGGAACGTTACGAAAGCCGTTGGAAAAGGCGTTTTTGAGCTTAGCTCTTTCTAAATTTAATTCCTTGGGTATTGGGGTAGCTGGCTTCTTTTCAAGAATCGTGGGATACACAGCACGAGTTCCATTAATATCGTTTTCTTATGGAAATAGAAATAAGGAAAAACAGTAAAAGAGATTTCGACATAATGACAATGACCACAGAAACGCGACACTTAGTTTGAGAATTTCAATCGCATCTACTAAAATACACCTACTAGCCTTTTCATCCCAGCCGATTTTTAATAAGAATGACATTTGCATTGGAGTGAGGAAATCCATACATGATGCCGCCTTATCCATCGTACGGTATTTCAAACCATAGCAAATTCCATTCTTTATATTCGCTTCTGTTCCTAAAGAATACCGTATCACTCCGAACCCGAAAGTGCAAGCAGGTTTCTTTTTGTAGAAAAAAGTGCTCCAAAGCAATTTTCCCATAAGAATTGTGGAAGAATGTAACCCACCGTTAAAGTCTGCCAGACAAAATGTTTCCATTAATGAAGAAAAAAAGAACCAAAATGAAATGAAAGTACATGTAGACTGTAGATAGAAATCACATCTGAACATAGTAAACAAATTCCAGACAGAATGAATTTAAAAAAGAAGGAAAAGGGAAGCAATTCAAAAACCTATGGAAATCATATTGAGGCGTTGTAAATCCAATAAAAAACGACTTAAAAAGCAACACTGACTGGTTTGGGGCCTCAGATTAACTGGGGTCATTGCCGATTTGGGCTCACCAGATCAATCCCGTTGACGGGTGATTGCTGATGGTACTGATCGATAGAATTAGCTGAGACACAGGCGAAGCGAAGGACCCAAATAGTGTTGTGGTGAACGCGTTACTCCCAGGAAAGGACAATGGCACGTTCATTCCCCACCGCAGACACCTGTGGTCCGGAGTTTTGCAAGTATCTCCGCATGAAATTATATTTCGCAACATACTCTGCCATTAAAAAAAGTGGAGGCAAATAAAAAGTTAAAACTGACTAGTTTTTCCACTCATCATAAAATATACAGGTGAAATTGAAATCACGTGCAGCGCAGTGGCTATAGATGCTAGTAGAAATTATACATACGCGATCGTCGCTTCTATTCCAAGCCTCGGTCAAACCAATCTATGGTCGACGAATTGGTGGCGGAAAACGCTCACATAATAAATCCGTGCCCACGAAAGTCACTGCATAGGCCTAATGAGCATTTAACGACTTTAACCACACCGCAAATAGAGTGAGATGGACTCAACAACGCTAACCGTTTTATTCTTTTCTCCTACAGTTTCATAATTTCTAAAATCGAAGAGAACGGGCGTTTCTTCAAATTTTTGTAATATTGACAATCTAATCCTTAAATCGGATAATCAGAGTTTGCGAAAGTCACACTTTAATCTTTGTGACTTAACTTAAATGATATATTTATGTGGCAATGAAGTTAGTGGGCTAAGAGCTTCATACTGGACCGCTATACTCAAAGCCTTCAAAAGCTTTATTTATAAACTACAAAAGCCTCATTAAGCGAGCGTTATTTTAGTAGAGTTTATATTGTTTTTGAAGCAGTTAACGAAAAAACATTGGACCACTAGACTTTATTGTTAAAGAGTAATCGATTTCATCTACACGAAAAAGACGAAGTCCATTCATTACCTGTTAGGGTATCGTAGAAAAATTCCATGAAATGATGTTATTAGGCCAAAAACACCGTTTAATATTGGCAGGCATAAGAAGTACAAGGGAAGACAAAGCAGTAAATGAAGAACACCACATGAAAATTCACACTGAAATCATAGGAATTCTGATTTTGCCTGGAGCAAAGAAAGGTGAAAGGTTGAAGTGGTGGAATAACTTCTAATCAAATTGGAGAGCTTAAACTCTCTTTCCTTATTTTCAGATGTAGTGTGAGTGTTCTTGACTTACCAAAGCAACAATGGCGAGTAACGGATAAAGGCTCCATTGTGGACCGGCCTGGCCCATTCGACTGGGTGAACTTTTCTGTTGTTCGTTTGTGATTATCTGGTATTTTAACTACATAACTTTTGAAATTTGTCAATGTAGGTATAACGGTTACCGGAGAAAAGAGCAACATTCACTAATTAACTGAGAAAGAAAACATAAGAGATCCAAATAATTCCAAAAGGAACGACGCGTTGTTAGACAGGGTCGATATCAGTGAGCAACAAGTACCGTGCTCATTTTTGCCACTTCATGAGTTTATGGGTAACGGAAACATCGAAGCAACCAGTAATGCACAACTGCAGGTGAGCTGCAAGTGAATGAAATCTAAGCAGTCAGCTTCAACGACGTGTGTGTCATCCTCTTTGTTGAAGACGTAAAGAGAAACACAGATGGATTTCGTGTGTGTTTTTATTGCTCATCATCAAATTTTCTTCCTCATTAATGACCATTGCTATATTTAAATATCCACAAGAAAAAGGAAACGAAGTGAGGAACGAGTGAATTTGAGAGACATTCGTGAGGAAATGGGATTCTCGTGCACATGCAATGGATGTCGTCGAAGCTAACGAGCTGACTTCAGAGGAAATCGAGTACAGCGCATGACGAACCGCAGTGTAGCACTGACAATTTAAAAAACGAGAGAAGCATAAACTGGAAAACTATACGAGAATTCCTAAACAGAAGAAAAACTAGTTCCTGGCGTCAGCATTTCGCGAAAAAGGTCAAATAATATAGTGAAGGATGGGTTAAATTCCTTTTAAGGACCTCTTTCTCTTTTCGATTTTTAGCATCTACATTAAGGTAACGAAGCATAGATGTTCTCATATAAAAAGTTAGAGCAATTTTTACAGGCATTTTTTATTTGCACGAAGATATTTTAAGCTAATCTATGTAAGGCAAGCAAGAAAAGAATATTGCCGTTGTCGCTTCTTTCAAATAGAACACATAATGAATTTTATACTGATTATGAAATGACCAGAGGAAAGCACGTCAGCAAACTGCTGATTTAAGCTTTCTAATCGTGATGTTCGTCCTATAAATCGCTTTTTCTCTAAGCGAATAAAATTTATGTATAATGTTTTAGCTGCTGAGGTTATGAAAATGTTTGGCTGAATGGAATGGACTGTTATTTGACCTTCCCAGGCACTGAGGAAGACGATAGGGATGAGACGTCGGCTATAGAGAATAAATAATAGAATGGTAACCTCGATACTGATCATGAAGAAAACAGCAAATTATTGAGCACAACTGAGATTGATAAAAAGTGGGTCCCTGCATTTGCTATATCATTGATTAATTCGTGGAAAATAGAACCGCAAGAAGTGCAGGAGTTAGGGAAGTCGTTCCATGCACATGTGCACACAATGGTTCGATCTGCTCACAGGCCAAACCGGCCTTCCATCACTCCGATGTCGAAAACTGCTTCCAGATTTCACTAGGATAAGTTTTATCGAATTCATAAAAGACCTGCCAGCGCTGAAAACCCGGGTAAATCTCAGCAATCCTATAAAATTCTTGACTCGACAAACATTCAATTATGCTCCTAAGAAAGCCGAAATCTTCAAGTGGTAGACGAACCTGTACTCAAAAACCAAAGACCTTCGTACAAAATGAACGCGAGACAACGAACGAAATGAAGGAATTAACGAGATCTGAAAATACTGACAACAATCAATTGAGTTGATTAATTGAATAATCGCCGAAATCACCACAATCTGAAAGGATCCCAGTCAAGGGCTCGAGCCAAGTGAAACTTCTCCGTGGGTCAACGAACGGCGCGTGGCGATGGCGAACCGGGTGAAGGATGTGCGAGGCTCCGCAAGGCACGTACAGCCTGGATAGCTAAGTGGCGGAGTAATCACTTTACGGAGAACACAGTGGGCTGACACATTCTACTTGATTACTGGACTACTATGATCATTTCGTATGAAGTGTTCTTTAAAATGGCAAAATAGGATTTTCACATACGTGAAAAAAGTTGTCTTTTTTTGAAATACGGCAAAAATGAGGACAATTTTCTCGTCATTTTATACTTATTTTATTCAGATTTTTTCCACTTTTAGCGCTAATTTTAAGGGAACTTACGTCTATTCGTAGTATTCACTTTTTTCAGTCTGTGAGCTGCCTAGGTTTTTTTTCCTATCGTTCAAAAGAAACACGAAAAAATTTTCCTTCGTTTGCCGAGTCGACAAAGTAATCGAATGACGTGAGCTATCCTTTGTTCGCAATCCAACCCGCATCAGCTCCACAGAATCTTCTCTGAGTGCCCAAAAAATTCTGTTTTACAAAAAAAAAGGAAAAAACAAAAAATTCTGTGAATCTGTGAAATCGTCATTCGATGGAAAACACGAAATACATATGAGATCGGCCATAATTATTAATTATACTCTGTTTTAACGAAATATCACAGAATGTTACTGAGCCGTAATAGCACATAACATTTTTCCAAAACATTGCTACTCATATTTGCAAAGGTTCACTTAAAGAAATGAGTAAAAGAAAACTATTTATCGTTCCTACCTGCGTTGGTAGTAGCCTGTTTTTACTCAAACTATAAGAGCTAAAATCGAATGCATGGCGCATGACTGATCAATACCGAGAGCTTTATCCTTCATTTTTTAATACATTTCGTAACCTAACCAAAAACGCGTCCACAGTTTGTGCATAAAAATGCTTAGCGTCTTTGACGACTGTTATGTTAAGCGTAGAGATTAAAATGTGCACACAGCTTCAAAAAGTAGATCTGTTTTTGAATAAAAAGGTATAGGACCGGAATCATCGATGCTGTTCTCCATTGTTAAGCTGCCGCTAACATCGACTTATCAGCTAAATATTGAATATGGTTGAAATAAAGTTATGAGTGACATTTATTAGCAAAATAGGATCACTGGGCGGTATATGTGGTGGCCTGCCTCCTTTATTGCTGAATGTAAATGAATTCCATTAGATGTATGGATCCATGTGTTGGCAAAAGCGTGAAATATGGAGCTTAACATCTCACCAGACGCAGGCAGCCGGAATGTGATCAAATCTGCGTTTACGAATGCCAACCCCCAGGGACGAGGAATGTGCAGTACAACCGCGACTTCATTGCAGAGCGAAATCATCAGATGATAGATGTCCGATTCATCTGACAGAACATTTGCATAAGGACGAATTTACGTAAATATTACAATTATTTGTTAACTTATTTTTTTATATGACTTGCCTTCACATAGTGTGCTATGCTCAAAGGACGTACTTCTTTCATTCGTTTTATTGTCTCCCATCACACGGATTTGTGTGTGTGGTGCAACTTGAGGGCTTTACCTTCTTGGGGAATGTCTTCTAGTACTGATTGAGTTTCTCCTCATTGGAACCCTGAAACTGCTCTGGAACGGAGTTGACAGGCTTTTGCCACAGACATTCCGTTCCTTTGCAGATCCAAAGTGAGCTTTTGCGAGATTAGTCAAGTACAGGTTTGCTGATCTGAGAGGGATGGAGGACTAAGTTGGCCCAGATCGTTGATCAAGGCAAACAACATGCCTGCATTGCATGACCTCTATACGGTCTCTACCTGTCCCATGAGTATTATTTTATTTATTTCATAAGCCGTTAAATTCTTCCAATACTTCACAACATCATCATAGCTTAGTGGTACTACCGATCTGCGAAGTGCAACGTAAAGCTCATCTCACTCAATAAGTCCTCCTTAAATGACGAGGAATTCAAAGCTTTCGTGCAAAGACTCGCTTAAGAGTGGCTCCACAGAAAAACAATTTTTTCGGAACAGCAACATAACAATTAGATGAAAAGATGTGTTGGAACCCTGGAAATTTCTAACGAACATGAATCGGCTCAACCAGTCAACTATTTTCGTCAAATATTTGAGTGAACTGTTGATTTTATAGCTTTCAAATGCCAATTCACTTCCTTCATTTTGAACCGCTTAAACCTCTAAACTTAAAAGTACATGTGGTCTAGTTGTTAGAGATGCGTACCCTGCAATACACAATGGTCGTTGTTTCCTTCCCAACGCTCACCAAACGTTTATTAACACTTACTTGACACATCCGTAAGCCACCGCAGGTAATTGTGCACGCCAGTTATGCATTATACCATGTCTAGAAAAGGGGATCCCTCAGAGAGTGATCAACGCCGAGCGCTTCATCTTTCATCCTATATTTTAGTTCTCGAGATTCCGGAACTTACTTTGCTATACATCACTTTGAAATAGAGAAACAAGTGGTCATTGACGGTTTGCTCGACAGTATTTGTCAGCACACAACGATATCCAAAATGTGACACTGCAGCGACTTTGACTAAATTCTTGATGTTTTTTTTCCACGCACAGATTACTTTTCGAGGTAAACGTTAATGAAAACTTTATGTTCGTCTACACTGCAATTCCAAGCTCTTAATTTTTTTACTGCTCGATTCCCCTTACTCACTTACTTGAACGGCCCGTCTTCGCTGGTCTTGCGGACCCAGCACAATCACCATTTGTCGGAGTTTTGATGGTTAAGCCATTGTGGCTCCCTGGAATCTCAACGTAAGCCTGGTCATTGTCTGCCCTGGTCTTTACAACCAGAGGCAGTAGCAGCCCTTGTGGATCAGAGAGAGATTTTCCACCATGAGACCTTGATACCAGGACGGTGGTAGGTCCTGGTGTTGGTTAACTTTTAGCTAGGCTTCTTGATGAAAACTCCGGACTCCTTCTCAGCTTAGGAGACCCTACCGGCGGGGAGGAATCCCCCGCTGTACATCGCAGTCCGACATCCAGGAACATCTCCCAGCCACGTTGAGGCAGTAAACCGTTGGAAGGTCGATTCCTCTTAACTCTGAAAAAATAATGATCTCTTCAACCATCGCATACTCTTGAAATTGAACTGAATGTCTGAAATCGCTTTATAATTTCCCACGAACAACCAACTTTTCCGTATGAAATGCAGGCGTGGCTCGAGTGCACTACGCGCCGTGTGGAATAGTACAGTGGGAAGAAACATCTCACTGAAACCTCAACCTAGCACGAGTTTGGT